CCAGCATAATACACCATACAATCCCATACATAAAGACATTCCAAAAGTCAATGAGTTTGAGTTGTTATATGTCAATATCCTTCTTCCTAGCTTAATGAAGAAAAAATTGCTATAACTTATAGGCCACTTTAATGTATATTTCAACTATATGTTTGAACCTTAGAGATAAAAACTATAATACCTTAGAGATTTAACAACAGTTTTGTTGGAACAACTATTCATTCATATAGATAGTTCATATAGATAATAGATAGAAGTGACAATGATAATTGTTATAACACATTGCTATTACCATTCCTTTTAATAAAACTAACAATTTCAGTGGATACAACATATTAAACAATTTCAGTGGCTTTATTATATATATAGATTAACCTGTCAAGCTTTTTGGTTGAAGAGATGGAGGGGTTTGCTGCAGCAGAGGACGAACAGGTTGGGGGCCAGCAAGCCAAGCTGAATCTGTGAAGCAGAGAGAAATTGTGTCTCCTTACAAATAAAGTTAATTTCATTCTTAATCAATTAAATTACTAATACATATAATCAATTAAGGAACAGATTTTTAAAAAATAATAAGGTAAAAGGTAGTCAGAATTGAGATAAATACCCTTCATCATCATTTATCTGTAGAACAAAAGTATCAGCTCTGGTTTTTGAACTCCAAGAACACATGTCCTCTACTCTGAACACTAGTATATACACTTATCTGGAACAATTATTCAAATATTATATACAAACCTGACTAGTCCTTTCTCACCAACAAAAACACCTTTTCCATGAGCATATCATCCCAAACAGAGTGCACAAAGAGTTAAATAAAATCGTTGTCTTTAAAAAAAAAAAAAAGTGCACAAAGACAACGGTTTTAAACAACCGTTGTCTTTCTAGTGTTGTATATTCCAGTGTGCTTAAAGACAACACATCAACGACAACGGTTAAAAAAACCGTTGTCTTTTAAAAAAAAACGTACATAGACAACGGTTTTAAAAAACCGTTGTCGTTGTGGTATTGTCTTTTCACAAAATGCACAAAGACAACATACTTATAACAACAGTTAAGTAAAAACCGTTGTCTTTGACAAAAGTGTTGCATCAAAGACAATGGTTTTGGACCAAACTGTTGTCTTTTATACAAAAGACAACACTTTTCTTAAAAATCGTTGTCTTTCTAGTGTTGTCTATGTGCATTTTTCTTGTAGTGCAGGTGGTAAAGTCATGTATACCTCTTCTTCCAAGTCACCATGTAGAAATGCATTGTTGATATCTAGCTGATGAATATGCCATCCTTTGATCATAGCAACTGCTAAAAAGGTCCTGATTGTTGTCATCCTACCCACAAGAGAAAATGTCTCAATATAGTCAACTCCTAACTGTTGTGTATATCCTTTGGCAACCAGCCTTGCCTTGTATCTTTCTAATGATCCATCTGCTTTCATCTTAACTTTGTAGACCCACTTACAGCCTATAGGACTTTTCACAGGTGGTAACTCAGTGAACACCCAAGTTTTATTGTCTTGGAGAGCTTGAATTTCAGCTTGCATGCTTCCAACATTCATGTTTAACAGCCTGATTGTAAGTTTTCGGTTCAGGAATGGAAGACACTGCTGTGGCAAAGATTTTATGTGCTGGGGATAAGAGATTATAAGAAACCACTTTGGAAACAGTGTGTAGTGAGGTCCTATTTCTTATCACATTATCACAATAATAATCATGTAGCTTTGTAGGGATGCACCTTGTTCTAACAGATCTTCTAGTTTGAGTTGGAGTTTCCACTGAAATATTGTCTGATGTCCTCCCAACTGAACCATTGTCTGCTGGTTCAGATTGATCTGGTATTTTAGGAGCACTCATATGCGTTGTGTTCTCGGTTGAGTTAGTGTGTGTTGGCTGATGCTGAACTGAGATCTCAGGTGGATCATTGTCTGCTGTTGGCATCCATTTATCAAGATCAATATCTACTCTAGTGGTTGGGAATGTAGGTAAGGAAGGGTTGAAAGCTTCTGTGATCTGCTCAACACCATTCCTAGATATAGAATCTGTATTGAAGGGGAAACAGTCCTCATAAAACTTCACATCCCTGGAAATGAAAAGAGAATAGTCATTTAGATCATATAGAACATATTCTTTGATGTTTGCTGGTAGCCCCACAAAAATGCACTTTCTGCTCCTTGGTGCCATCTTGTGCCTTGAATGTGAGTTGGTAGAGGCATAACACAAACATCCCAGCACTTTGAGATTACTAAGGTCAGGTGGCTTGCCATATAATCTGCTGTGAGGAGTTGACTAACCAATGATAGGTGATGGCAACCTGTTGATAAGATAAGTTGCATGCCTAACAGAGTGACCCCAAAACTTTAGAGGAAGATTAACTTCAAAGCTCAATGCCCTTGCCACATTCAGAATATGTTGATGCGTTCTTTCCACAACAGACTTTTGATGTATGATTCTCTTTGCAGCAAAGAATTCCCTCATAACAAATTCATTTCCATTATCACTTCTAATGATCTTTATGTTGACACCAAATTGAGTTTGGACAACACTATGAAAGTTCTTTATCAAGGACCTCACTTCAGATTTAGTTCTCATCAAATGTAACCAAGTAAATCTAGAAAAAATCATCTGGGACCCCATATATCAACATGTATTAGTTCAAAGCACGCAGTAGATGTGGATGTACTTATGGGAAAGGGAGATCTCTTATGTTTGGCATAAAGGCAAGCATCAGATATTAAAGGTTTGACATTAAGTTTGGGCAGATCAGATAGCAAATGCCTTTTATTACAGGGAAAATGTCCCATCCGTTGATGCCAAACCTTGGCACTGACAACATTACAATGCATTACACTATTGCTATCAATCCTCAAAGATTTCTTCACCGGGGGTTAGGGCAGTAAGTAAAGTCCCCCTTGATCTTTAGCAAAACCAGTCATCATTCTAAGAGTGTCCTATATCAAGCATTGATTAGCCGTGAAGATCAACTTATAATCAGATTGTTTGATGAGTTTGCTGGCTGAAATAATATTGAATGTAAAGCAAGGGATACACAGAACATTCTTCAACAATATTGTGTTATTCATTCTGACTTCCCCTATATGAGATACAATTATACTGTCACCATTGGGTAAACTAACTTGAGTGCCCTTAGCTAAGTGATGATTATCAAAAAATTCAGGGGAGCAAATAATATGATATGTAGCTCCAGAATCAAGAATCCAAGAATTGGTAGAATAAAGAGCAGAATTTATATACTTGCCTCCTGTAGTGTTCTCTGCATTGGGGCTGAAATCTGGGATAAGCTTTGCATTGGGAGAGATAGATACAGTAGTTGCAGTAAAAGGATATTGGTCACCTTGAGTGTGTAATAGTGAGAGTAATTTCTGGATTTAATCAGCTGATAGGCTAACATCTATAGGGGTTGAGCTCACAGAAACTGCAGCTGTTGATTGTCCTTGCTGCTGGTGTTGTTTCCCTTTGGATTTATAACCTGGAATCCATCCCGGAGGATATCTATGTTTCTTGTAGCATTTGTCTACAATGTGACCATTCATACCACAGTAAGTACATTTAGCAGTCTTTACATTCCCATTACTAGAGTTGAAACTCCTTTTTCCAATAAAGTTGTGGACAAAAGCCATTATATCTTCATTAACATCTGTATTTTGAGATCCTTGTATAGCATTAGCAGCAATGATTTCAAGATTATTCAGCCCTAGATTGGCTAAGTTCAAATGTCTTTCCACTTTCAATGCCATGGCAAACACTTTGTGCACCTCTAGTAGTGGATCAATAACTAGGACACCTGATTTAAGTGTGCCAAATTCTTCATTCAAACCCATCAAGAAGCGAAGGATCTGATCTGCCTCACGTTTTTTTCTTATTATATCAACTAAATCACATGAACACCTAGGATTACACTTGCACATTGGAAGAGGTCTTTGATGTTATCACATCTTAGCTTGTTTTTATAGTTATTTTGAATCATCTTAGTATTTAAGTTCTTTAATTTTGCTTATTTAAAACATATTTTCCTTGCTATTATCATTTAATTATGGTTCACACTTGTTTTGAATGTTTTACGGTGTTTGTTAGTGTTTTTGAACCATTTTAGGTTAATTCTATGAGGGATATGGGCTGTGGATACCGAAAGTTACACACGGTTTTCGCTGCTGCAGGGATTTTACACCGACAGTCGTCGCCGCACACACATGAGCAGAATGGCCGAGTGGAGCGTCGACACCGTCACGTGGTTGAAACTGGGTTAACTCTACTTGCCCAAAGTCACGTACCACAAAAATATTGGCCTTTTGCCTTTGAGTCTGCTGTCCATTTGATAAATCGTCTACCCTCCACTGTTTCACAAAATGTCAGTCCCTACTCCAAGTTACACCACAAGTCTCCTAATTACAGTTTTCTCCGTGTGTTTGGGTGCGAGTGCTTTCCGTGCCTACGCCCATACAATAGGCACAGATGGATTACCGGTCTACTTTGTGTGTTTTTCTGGGATATCTAGATTCGTGTCTTGGCTACAGGTGTTTGGACAGGAACTCATGCCGCATTTACATTGCCCGGCATGTGCGGTTCAACGAGGAGGTGTTTCCTTATGCGAAAGCCCACCATGCTGTCCAACCTATGCCTAACGGCGAAGGGGTTGCGTCTCCTTGGGCGTCTGCACCAGTCTTGCAGCCTCCGACTTCAATTCATCCTGCACCGACGTCCGAACCGAGCATGAATCAGCCACCACCTCAGTTTCCGCTTCTGCCGACTTCTTCCTCAACGGCAGCCGCTGCTTCCTCTTCGTATCAACCGACTACATCATCGACTACCACGGGCAGGCGACGACGTGTGAGGCCTACTGTTCAGATACATGTTATGCAACTCCGAACGTCAACCCATGCACAACATCGGAGTTCAAGAAGCCGCCCTACTGCAATGGTGGGCTCCATAGACGATGATGAGCCCACTTGCCACTCACAAGCGGTTAAATCCTCACATTGGTGAGCGGCTATGGACACTGAGTTCAACGCCTTACTGCAAAACCAAACTTGGCGTCTTGTTTCCCCGCCAAAAGAAACAAATGTAATAGGTAGCAAATGGGTTTTTCGCATTAAGCGAAAATCCGATGGAACTATTGACCGCTACAAGGCCCGTCTAGTGGCCAAGGGGTTTAACCAGGTACCGGGTGAGGACTACTCCGAAACATATAGTCCGGTGGTCAAGCCAACCACAATTCGCCTACTATTGGCCTTCGTCGTGTCAAATAAGTGGACTATGCGTCAATTGGATGTCCACAACGCCTTCCTAAATGGACATATTGACGAAGATATTTATATGCGCCAACCGCCCTGATACACAAATCCGAACTTTTCGGGACATGTGTGTAAGTTGCAACGCTCGCTGTATGTGCTTAAACAAGCCCCCCGTGCGTGGTTTAAAAGATTACACGATTTCTTGCTACAGGTTGGGTTTCGTCCGTCCAAAATTGATGTTTCCTTGTTTATCTTTGACTCCGGACAAGTACGGGCCTATGTGTTGGTCTACGTGGATGACATCCTCCTGCTTGGAAACAGTTCCGGTATGGTCCAAAATGTTATGACTCAGCTCTCCACTACCTTTCGCATCCGCGATTTGGGCAAACCTCGATTCTTTTTAGGAATCGAGGCGACTTACACTGGAGATGGCCTCATGCTCTCACAACAGCGTTATATGCTTGAAGTCTTACGCAAGGCTGGCATGGAGACTTGCAAACCGTTGTCAACTCCAATGGAGCCAGCTTCTTCGACTCCTGCTGTGGGGTCTCCTCCCCTTGACGACCCAACACCGTACAGATGTCTTGTTGGGTCTCTGATGTATTTACTAATCACACGTCCAGATCTATCTTTCTCTGTGAATCGCCTGTGTCAATTCATGCATGGACCGACACAGGACAACTGGGCGTCACTCAAACGGGTGTTGCGCTACGTGCAAGGCACCCAAAATCTAGGGCTACGCCTCACATAGACGGTTACTCTGATTGTCCATGCCTTTTCAGATTCAGACTGGGCTGGCTGCTCTCTTGATTGGAAATCTACCGTTGGCTACGCCGTGTTTTTAGGCCCCAATCTTGTTTCCTGGACGTCTAGGAAGCAACGCACCGTAGCACGGTCCTCTACCGAAGCTGAGTATAAAGCCCTGGCTGACGTTGCTGCCGAGGTCACCTAGGTACAGTCCCTGCTACGAGAGCTTGGCTTACATCCACCCACTATTCTAGTTCTCTGGTGTGACAACTTAGTCTCAACCTACCTGTGCGCCAATCTGGTCTTTCATGCTCGGATGAAGTATGTAGAGGTCGATTACCACTTTGTTCCGGATAAAGTGACAACTGGAGCTCTCAAGGTGAACTTTGTCTCTACTAGTGACCAGCTCGCCTACATCTTTACCAAGCCTCTCTCCTCGGCTCGCTTTGGTGATCTGCGGTACAAGCATGGCATGGTCTCGTGTCCCTCTTCAGCTTGAGGGGGAGTATTAGGTAGTCAGATATTTGGTTAGATTTATCAGTGTAGTTGTAACACCCCAGATTTTCAAGATATTTAAAACTTATAAAGTAAAGGTGAAATCTCATTAAATCCCAAAGCATAATACAAGAGTACGGGGTGCTATGCCACACCTAAGCTAGAGAACTCAGGTGCACAGGCTAACTAACTAATATCCCCAATGCATAAACATGGCACGCAGGCCGAAAAGGAAACTATCTACTTCTACGCTCCAAGTTCTAGCGCGCTCCAGTGACTTATGATAAGCTTAATTTCTAGACATTATTTAGAGTAATTTTAGTTAGTGAGTTCAATAATTAAATTAAGTTTTAGGGTCGATTTTATAATAAATATTATATTTAGTTATATGTTACTAGTTTAGATGGGTTTTAATAAATATTAGGCTAATATTGTATTTTTATTAATATAAATAAGAGTTTTATTTTATCTATAGTATTTATTTGGTGGTTCAATATCTTCATTTGTTTAATAAGTGTTTTAATAATTAAGTTTAATTAAATTATGTCATTAGGTTATGATGGTTTTACTTTATTTTATTTTATTTTGTTTCCTTGGAGGATGTTGCGCAGCAGACAAAAGAAAAGAAAGAGTTTTAAAAGGGATGAAATATATTTAATTTGGGTTGCTTTTTTTTAACTTGAAGTTCGGCAGAAACAAAAACAAGAAAAAAAAGGGATTAAGATTTAGGTTTTTATCATTGGAGAGACGGCAGTTCGGCAGAGAAGACAGACGGAAAGGAAAAAAGAATAGAGGAGTACGAAAGCTTGGGAGCGGCGGCGACTTCGGCGAGGAGACTTCATCGCAGGGGATTCCTGAGTTTCAATCGCAGCTATCATCTTTTTAGGCTTGAATTATTTTTCTTTATCCTTATTTTTATTTCTTGTTAAAATTTCCAGAATGTTATTTCTTGAACATTCAAATATGATTTTTGGCTAGAATTTAAATTAGGGATTTGGATTAGCCTATATTAGATTAATTGATTATTCTTCCTGATGTGTTGATTATTCTAATTTCAATTGAATAATTGAACTTGATTATATTTATTTTATGTATTTTAATTGTGGATTGTGTGCCTGGCCACTGCATAATTCTAATATTAGGGTTCATAAGAAGAACTGACAGGTGAATTATGAACCTAGAACTCATAAGATAAACACAATTGACCTAAACTAGACATAGCTTTAGGTATTTGTGGTGATATTTGATTGTTGCTTAATGGGTTTAATTAATGTTGGTGAGATATCGACGGATGATCACAGTTAATTGGATACAACCTAGTAGCTCGACGGAGTATTAGGATATATATGAGGCAATCATCACTATAGTTATAAGAATTAATATTTAGGAGAGTTAGTTAATTATCTAATAGGTGAACCCAAATCCCTAGTCTTCTCTCAATTGGAATTTTCTTTGCTTTAATTTCATAAATATTCTTTTTAATTATATTAATTCTAATTATTTGCGTTTTCCCTAATCAACAAATTGATTATTTAAGATAACAGTTAATAGTGTTCTTCGTGGGATCGACCCTGGAATACTCCAGGAATTTATACTGTGATTGACTCTGTGCGCTTGCAGATTATAGCAATCAACTTACTCTTCTGTGCCTGAAAGCCAAATATATCTGTTCAGCGAGAGATGCTGGTAACCCACTCCAACGCGTTGAAGTACAATACATATATATATATATATATATATATATATATATATATATATATATATATATATATATATATATATATATATATATATATATATATATATATATATATATATATATATAGATATACGAAAACCATTTTGAACATGAAGATATATCCTACGAACTCTAGCTTTTAAAACAGGGATAAACTCAACAGATAGGGCTAATCACAGACAGCAGTTATACCAAGCATATACAGTTTACAACAGGCAAGACAGATAAGATAAGCACAGTTAATAATCATAACCCAACACATACGATCCCCGGTACAAATCCCATAGTCTCATCCACAAGATACTCATAACAACAACTCATCCATACTTCATCACATAGCACACTTTGTTGGCGCCATAGGACCAATCGCATGCCCATACATGAGGGTCAGCGCATATAGCTCTGACACGGCCCCGCAGCACCCTGCCCCGTCTCACACTACGGAGGGGTCGATCGCAACCGATCGATGAGCCGCAGCTCTATATAATCTTTATATACCTGACCGGTCTTTACCAGCCTGGTTAACAGTTGGGATGGTTCTCAACCCATTCGACTGCCCGTATAGTGGACCTTTGTCCTATATAATATTTGAATACCTGACCGGTCTCTACCAGCCTGGTTAACAGTTGGGATGGTTCTCAACCCATTCAACTGCCCGTATAGTGGACCTTAGTCCTATATAATATTTATATACCTGACCGGTCTCTACCAGCCTGGTTAACAGCCGGTATGGTTCTCAGCCCACCCGACTGCCCGAATAGCCCGATTGATCTCAACCAAATTGGGGTAACATGCATACATAACACATAACAAGCACATGCAACCACATTAACACATTGGGAAGGGGGAGAAAACGTATAACAAAACCTATGCGTGATCCTTCACATTCTAAGAATAGTCCTAAGGGATTCATACTTCTTTCACCTAGGTCAACGGGATACCAATTCAACTAGCATGCAATATATAAGACTCATACGACCTACGAACGGTACCCGAAAATCAAACTAGACATAGGCACGATAGACGGAGTCCGTTGAGACACCACGGGGGTCGGGGAACATCAAACGGGGAAGCCGGGATCCCGATGTGGGGTGCAAACCAGTGGGTAGCCGGTGGGTGGGGGTCACCCGCCGGCTGCCCGCCGGTATTTACTGTTCCGGGCAGCGGGTGCCTGGCGGGCAGCTGCCCGCCCGCTACCGGAGCTCCCTTTTTTGACCGCGGGTAGGTGGCGGGTCCCCTACCCCCACCTACCCCCCACTGACTCTTTTTCACCAAAAACGCCCCGGGAACCTTTGTGGAACCCGAAACCATGCTTAGACACTTTCAAACGCAATTGATAACACACGTAGACAATTAACGGATCAAAGATCGAGAAACATATGGCACATAACCTATCATGCTTTTCTAAACATAATCAACACCCAATCATGCGAATTCCCACCCAATATACCAAGAATAATTTCATATGATACAACATAGGGTTCTAATCATTTTTAAATCAACAAGGACACAATTCATCTTCTAATATCAAGATTCGGTAAGAATATCACAAAAACATCAAGAACATCCTACAATTATCAAGAACATCATATAATCATCAAGAACGTCATATAATCATCAAGAACACCATAATTATCAAGAACCTTTCATCATCAAGATCACCCATGGAATCATCCCACCAATCATCAATAATAATATCACAAATCATCAATACACAATAATATGGGAAAATCCTAAGAGGGGAATCATAGCTATGAAAATAGGTTTTGTTGAGACATGGGTTACCTCTTAGCCTTAATTAATTCCTTGGCTATGAAGGGTCTTTCTTTAAGCTTTCTTGCTTTCTTGATTTCTTCTAAGGGAATTCTTGGAGCTCTTTGGGTGGTGAGACGTTATTGTGGTGGGGGGGTTCTAGGTGCCTCTTAAGTCCCCTATTTATAAATTTAGGAATCCTAGTTAGGAACTAATATTATAGGATTGCTAATTCTATTCCTTTTGGGACTAAGGATTGGGTTTGGGGATAAGGGCCCGTGGACTATGGTGGGCCTTTCCTAATTAATTATTGTGATTTAATTCTTTCTTTTGGGTAATTGATTAAATGATTTTATTGATTTTAGGGATCGTAACACGGGGTGTTACAGTAGTTAGAGTTTATTAAAGAGTGGTTAGCTATTCTCTTGTTAATCACTTATGTATAAATAGCCTTGTATTCTCTCGTTGTTTGATATGCAAATACTGTAAACTCAATCGTTAGTTGTTATGGATTAATGCATGTTTAAGGTCAATTCAAATACCAAAGACCTTGTGGTCAAGAGTCATGAAGTGACTCTCCCAAGTGGGAGGGCATGAGTTTGAGCATCAGTGGAAACGATATTGACTCGCTAGTAGATTGAGAAGTTGGTATACAGTTCCATCGCTTCAGCTTATGAATGAGCTTCTTTATTTTCAAAACAAAAAATAACAAATATTTTTCATATATATATATATATATATATATATATATATATATATATATATATATATATATATATATATATATATATATATAATACATATATATATATATATATATAATACATATATATATGTATATGTATATATATATATATATATATGTATATGTATATATATATGTATATATATATATATATATATATATATATATATATATATATATATATATATATATATATATATATATATATATATATATATATATATATATATATATATATAGGCGAGTTCAGGTGCGACAGTGTCTTACGGTGCGGCAACATCAATAGTTCAACAAATATGCACCATCAACATTAGGAAAATACACCACAAAAAACGGAGTAAACAGAGCCCTGCATCACAAAACACACACCATTAGGTGTGAGTAAAAACACCATACACTGTTCAGAAATATACCATTGGGGGTGGTGAGTTATATGGGGTATTTTTTTGAGTCTGTTGTGTATTCTGTGATGTTT